AATAATATTAAAGCTACTCGAAAATTCCCGGGAAATTTCGTCCCACAAAAAATTTGATATTTGATATCAAATAAAATGAAATCAAAAATATAATCAACCGATTTTTTCCAATTCTTGAGATGGCATAATTATTTATCAATTTAATAAACAATTAATCCACCTAAAAACCAATCGAGAGATCAATTTCATCAGAAATTCAATGGGTCACAGAAAAATCTAGAGTTCTCGGGACAAATCGACAAAAAAAACCACCGACTGAAAATGAATGGGAAAAATCCTGAAGTGCAATAAAAAAAAAATCATGCCAGTTTGTAAAAGCTGTTGCATAAAATACCTGAGTAGTAATACGGATGACTGGCATGGAGGGGATGAACGAGTGGATGTGGCGCTCGAAAATCCATTTTCCAGGATAATTAAAATTCCCCACTCCCCCCGAAACTCAAAAAAAAAAAAATCTTTAAAAAAAGGCAAATTATCACTGTCACACAGCACCACAAAAAAACTCCACACACATACGTTTTTTTACTCCCCAACGATCTCACCCACACAAATCTTTATCGTTCCCCGAGGCATCGTACCAACGGTTGAGTTAGTTTTGCCGAGTTCTCGATCAATTTTCCAATTCCCAATGGACCGGAATATCACCGGTGCTGGGGTATCCGAGGGGAAGAATAACCGATAAATTATTTAACCGTCGAATAAATTTCAGTGGATCAATATCACGGATCAATCAATTCCGCGCGCACTCCAATCACGATGAATAAATGATAACTTTTTATTTTTGGGGGTGATTCTCATTTGTCACCGGGTGGAGACGCGGGGTTATTGGTATCGGGTGATGTTCTCGGGCTTTTTTTTATCACTTGTATATTTTTTATTGGTTTTTTCATCGTCGACGAGGTGAGACAAGTGGGGGTTGAAACGCGACGCGAGACTGATGCCAAAACCAAAAGCACTTTGGCTTCGCTTTCCCCCACCATATCGCTTTTGGGGAGGGTGATTGCGCATGTGCAATGACTATTCGAGACTTAGGCCTTTTTCATTCTCATCCGCGGATGGGGATTTTTTTTTTCCCGTGAATTTAATGACACGCACGCGTACTGAGACCGAGGGCTTATGTCACACTCGGAGTCCAGTGGATTCGGGGGATGAGTCATGATTTCAATTGGCATCTTTTAATCGGTTATGGGGATTCAATCGCACATTCTGCACTGATTTATTTCATTTTCCTTGATATTTTTAATCTATTGTTTATCTTCATTTATTGCTTTTTTGGTTTATTGCAATCGCGGATAATAACACTTGACGCGTTTTTATATTTTCGAGTACTAGGGAATTATTTATGCATTATCTATTTTTTTTTATGATAATAAATTGAAAATTATATTCGAATTTGAAGGAATTAATGAATTCTGGTGAATAATTGGAAAATCGAATATTGATCTGCTCCAGACTATTTATAAAAACGAATAGTTGATGTATTGTTTTATATTTTTGAATGTGTGTATGATTTTTTTTTGTAAATAAATTCCAGTGACAGGACAGGAATGAATGATGGGGCATTTCGTGTTTTTTGGAGGGTTGGGGATGGAGAAGGTCAATTCTTGGGGTATCCAGGAAGGAAAGGGAGTCAAGGATCAAGGGGTGGGGTGGTGATTTTGGGGGTGAAAACCCCAACCGGTCAAGGGATGAGAAATTGGAAGGGGGCGGTAGGGGGGCGCGTGCCGAACCGACGACAGATGTTCCTCGAGTGTTTCCGTGAGAGGAAAATGAAAATATCTTGAACTACGGGTTCCGGTTTCGGTGAGAATTTTTCTCAACATTTCAAATGGTGAGTCAAGCTGCAAACACTACCGGAAAATCCACCCCTTCCCCCCCTTTTTCGATTGATTAATATTCATAAACGTCAGAGGGGCAACCGAAGGTTCGAGAAAAAAAAAAGTTGTGATTAATTTTAATTAACCACTCGATGACAGATACGACCAATTAATTTTTCATGGGTCTGGATGAAAATTTGCGATGAATAGTAAATTTAAAACGAAAAGTTTTGGCTTGATAACTCTCTGGGCTTTTGAGAATAGGCGAATGTCTGTCTGTCGGAGCCAAAATCAATGCGTGTGCCGACGACACGGCCTCTCCACTCCAGCCCCACCAATTCCCCATCGACCCCAGTCACCCTTTTGCCCACCCTTCGGCTAGCTTATTTAATTATGCAAATTCATGGATTTCACTAATTATGAGCATTTTGTTTTCCAATGAAATTCCAAAACCACCCGTTCCCTCAGAAATTGTTAAAAAAAAAATCTCATATTCCATTTAAACCGGAAAAAATCATTGAACAATTAACAAAAATCAAATATTTTATTTTAATTCAACAACTCAATAAATAATGATGAGTTGGAAGTCAATTTTATCAAATAAGAAATATTTGGAAATAATTATTACACCGGGCGATGGAATTTCATTATGAATTCACGATTTATTTATTGCATGAATTTGGTATCCACTCCGGTCTTTAAAATATCGGCCATTATTCCCTGGTGATCGATTCTCGTTTAATTATTCCCACTTACGAAATAAACAATTGAAATTACAGTGAGAGAGCAAACGATTGCGTGACTGACAAGGGGGGGAGGGGGGTACAGGGTTGAGTTTATCAGCGTGTTATGTGGTGTTATTTAATTCATGATTGTACTAGCATGTGATAATGTAGAAATGATACTTGATTATTAAGCTGTCTAAAAATAATCCCCTCAATTGTCTACTTCCCGATTCGATTGACAACTTCTCTTTTAATACTCAAATTACTCTTTCCCCTTCCATTCGTTCCTCATGTCAAGACAAAACTGAATTCTTTGAATAATTAATTAATGACGAGCAAATATAAATAATCCGTAAAAATTTTAATCCAATTAAAAATCTCTTTGAAAATAAAATGCCCATTTTCAATTGATCAAATAAATATTCATAAATAAATTCTATCCTAATTGAATAATTATTCCTTATTAATATTTGTTTCGCGGGAGTCAAGACGTGAAACGGCGTAAAAATAAAATCTTGTTATGGACGAAATAATTCACCGATTAAATCCCTGAAAAGAATCTGGCAATCGACGTTGTGGCTTAGGGATGGAAAGAAAAAAATGAAATAAAAATTCAACCCCCCCAATATCCGACGGTGATATCGATTGCCAAGGGCAGGAGAAACGAGACCTCTCCCCCGACGGGGTGGATTGCGCGCCACCAGTGCAAGAGGCCAATGAGGGGTGTATTGCGGTGAAGGGGATGAAGTGCGAGGGAGAAGACACCGAGAAGAGGGAGAAAGTCTGCTATATTCACATTGGGTCTAGATACGTGGCTAGGGGTGTAAGGGCTAAGGGGGTTGACGAGAAAGCGTCGAGGGCTCTCCCTAATTCGAATTTAGGTGTCGGCCTGGTTGCTAAGTGGGCGCAATGCGGTGTCACGCTGCGGGAATTTCTCCTACGTCTACGATTCCAATTTTTTTTATGTCTACATCGTTTGGGTAGTGTTTATCACAAACCGCAGGGGTTAAAAAAAAATTCTCCCTCATTTTCCCAATTTATTATGAACAAAATGTCCACTGGTGCGTTAAAAAAAAAATTTATGTAGCCGTAAACTTGAATCCAGGGTTTTATCAATTTATTTATAATTCTCGTGAAGAATGCTCACTAATTAAATAAACTATTTGCAGATTTACGATTGAAAGTTTTACGCCTCTTTCTCCTTGACATTTCAAGAGCAGTAATTTATTTTAATTTTTAATTTTCTGAATTTCAAAAATTATAGTCCGGAAGTTAACAACCAGGAATAATAAAAGAACGAAAAATACTGGAAATTAATGCATTTAGAGCTATAATTTCCAATATTTCAATGGCGAGAGAAAAAATTGTCGGTATGTTTCTCTCATCTGAACCCCTTCGAACTGAACAGATACGACAACTAGTTGAGTAATGGTTCAATTATCACTTTGCCCCCGCGAGGTCGAGAGTTATCACCCATAAGTGTCTCACATTCCCCTTGAAGAGAAAAAGAAGGAAGTGAAAAAAAAATATAAATAAGCTAACGCGGGGTCAGAACTACTGCGTACGGTCCAGAGGAGTCTGGAGTGGTCCTGTGAGAGGCTGTGCCTGGTAAAACGCAGATAGCAGTGAAATATTGCCAGATAACCCCGGCTCTGGCAAATATTGGCCTCACAATTTTTTATCCCTTTATTCATTTTCCCCTATCAGGCATCCCACGATGTGTGCCACTATTTACGAATGGGGAGGGAATTATGACGTGAGGTAATTAGTGATGGGCTAATTTATGTCAAAATACTTTTGTATAATACATTATTTGTATTAATTATCGTTGACATTCCTAATCGCAGGTTAATTTGATTGGCAAATTAGAGGAAAATTTCGTGGAGCGATAATTTTTTTTTGGAAAGGATAGCTGAAGATCCTAAAAATTTTGAACCTACAATGATAAATCGTAGACTTTCGTATTAAATCGATACAGAAGCGTGACGAAGGAAAATCCACAGATATTTCCGGAATATGAGTGTGTGCTCTCAAACGGAGAGTTGGAATGAAAATATTAGCCTCTCGCTATTTCAAAATATTATCGTATTTCGAAAAAAAATCGCATTGCACTGTATCACTTCTGAAATCTATTATGAGTCAATTTCTCAACATCAACGAGTCCAGAAGAATAAATAAGGAGATCAAAGCAGATCCTTCCATTTTCGTTCGAAGAATCCCTTCAGAGAACAACTCGGATTTTTAATTAAAAAAGTTTTGCATTTAAAGTGTATTTTATAACACTCGCTGAGTTAATTTCATCTCTATAGTTGAGAAGAAAAGAGTCTGGGAGTGAGTGGATAAAAGATAGAATATTCAATAGAATTCTGGGAAAAATTGTACAACCCTCGACCCATTTTTTTTCTCTGGATCTCGTGTGGTTTTGAAAATTGCAAATATTTTTATTGTCTTGACTCACCGGGCTGCTCTTTCTCTGGCATCTTTTGTGGTGGTTTTTTATCAGGAGCTTTCGGTGAACAATTCTTACGGGCCGGTCTAGCTGTCAATGTGGGTGGTACCTGAAAAATTAAATTCAAAATAAAAAACGGCCTGAGGCTCTCATAAAAAATCACTTCAATGCATTTTTTACGTCAAATGCCTTTTCGAATTGAATAAAAAAGGTCGAGATAAGGATGGCTATAATGGTAAAAAATAAACAATAAAACTTACCACTTTCTCGGAACGTTCTCCAGAGGGTAACCTGGCAATTGAAGCATCGGGACTATCCTCAGGTGGTGGTGGCTGAACAATCCAATTATACTCTCTTTTCTCAATGGGCAATCCCCACCTCTCATACTCCAAACTCTGTGTCCTGAGTGTTTCGTAACAATCAAGACAAACAACAGCAAAATCCCCATTCTCCAACAGCAAACTCTTCTCAGGTTGTCGGTGATACCTCAAGAATGGAAAATCCTTGACAGGAAGTGCTCTCACCCTCTTACGATATGTCGTTATTCCACAAACATAGCACCAATAATCATGTGTATTGTATTGTCTATCATTAGCAGTGCTCTGTTGTCCAGTGGGTGTTGGTGATTCGTATTTTCTCCACTGAGCTAATAGCGAGTGATAACAAAATGTACAGACAAGTGCTGAGCCATCCTCCCTGAGTTGTTCAGCATTTGTTGGTGACTGATGGCGCAATAATTCGGGAAAAAATGGTGCATTACGACCCTGTGGATGACCATAAAGTACCCTAGCAAGTGTGAGATCGCTGTGAAGGCCACAGAGAAAGCAGTATATGGAGCTGCTAGATGTTCCTGGATTACTGGCAAATGTTCTCTCGGAACTTGAACTAGGTGGTGTTGCTATTGAACGATTGACATCACCATTGGGGTGTGGACTAGGTATGTCGTATCTACGACGCTCCAGGGGGACTCTCTCAGCGTCCATATTCTCCCATTGTTGGGCCAAGTGATTTACACAGTGGCTGCAGGCTAGAACTCTTCCGTGACTGTCCATGCAGGCATTCTCCGACGTTCTCGCCATACCTCGGAGACAGGGAAAGTGCATTGCGTGCGAATTCATTCCCTCTGGACTCGTTGACAGCCTGGCAATTTCATTTATCCAATATTTAAATATCATACTGTCAAATCTGACAAATCACCGCTTATTGTTGAAATAATTGCATCAAGAATTTTTTTTTACAACTTACCACTCCATTTGGGTTCGTGGATAGAGTCTCTCACAGATGTAACATCTGTAATTCTGTCCTCCAGCGACATTTCCATTCTCTGTTGGTGCACTACTGCTACTAGGTGAATTTCTCTGGGCTGAACTCTGCATCTTAACATTGGCACTCCTTGACTTTGACACTGCTCCACTGGACTTATTCAAGTCGTAGGGCTTGAAACGAATATCACTGCCAGCTGAATTCGCTGGGGATTTAGCTACTACTGGCCTTGGGGATGGGCCTGCAATAAAAAATTCAATGACACCCTGAATTTCATATTTATTACTAATTACATTTTCCCATTTGTCTCTCACAAGTTAATTAAATTTTCATTATTTTCACTACTTCAATTTTTAAACCATGAAAAATTGTACTCTAAATCCGTGAAATGGTATTCGTGTTGGCTTAATGCATGTCAAAAAGTTTACCTTGCTGACGAAACTCAACACTCTGGGCTGGTGGCTGAACATCGTTATTTTCACCCCCGAAAACCTGTTGTTTCTGTGGTATGGCTTTGTAACAGATGGAACAAACTTGTACCATCCCCTGAGGACTAATGGGACTAGCTCCTGGTGGAGGTCTTAACGAACATATAAAAGGAAAGTAGGCTTCTTTCTCAGGATTTGGACAGCAGTACAACAGTCTAATACTGGACGAGGGATACTCTAATGCACACGTGTAACAGACAAATGTCGCTGGCTCGACTGTCGGTGCCTGGCGTTTACGAAGTGTATAATTTCTGTCACCATGAGGTGTTCCCTGACGTGTATACGCCTTCCACTGGAGTAGGAGGTGATTTTGACATGCTGAGCAAGCCTGAAATTAGTTTAAATCATTTCAATATTATTTTTATTCCATTTAACGATTATTGTATGACAGAAATAAATTATAGTTTGAAATATATCATCGAATGGGAGACTTGACTTGTCAATTCTCAAAGATGAAGATAAAAATGTTTCCGATCTGCACTGTACAAATACACATCCTCTCGCCTACTCGAGGTTTTTGAAACGTCAATTTCCAGACCGGAAATCGAATGCCCGTTTCATTAACGGTCTTCCATGATATTGCAAATATTTTCATAAAAACATGATTGCGTGATTTTCCCTAACCTGAACTCGACCAGCAGAATCCATGGGTCGACTTCTGCTCGGTCTGGGATGTAGCATCAATGATGGAAAAAATGGTGGAGGGCTGCTGGATGTATGAGGCGGTGTTGGCAGTGGTTTAGCTGCGATATGACTCAGTGAACCTCTCTTGAACTCATCGCCACAAACGTAACAAACTTCGGTAACTGAATTCTTGTCCGGCATTGATAAATCGAGAATATCAGTGCCAGCACTAGAAGACGAGCCTCCACTGTACATCGCTGAAAAAAACATACGATTTTCATAAATAAAATAAATCTTTTGAGAATCTTCATAATTATTTTTAAAATACACATGGTTATGGCGCCTGACGTCGAATTTTTTATCAAGTCCATTTGTTATCTTAATGAAAACTCATTAGTTGGAAATTTATCACAGGTGAGTTCATTACTGAATGGCTCTGGTAATTTTTCATTTACTACCAGAAACGGTACGTCACTAGCGGATGAGTAGATACGCACAAATCCATCGAAATAAGAGAAACAGAGAAAGGAAAAAATAAAATGTGGCAACTCAATAAACCGGAGCTCAAAGTTGTTTTGATAATTTCCGCAATTTATTCGAATCAGTAAGAAGTATTTTTTTCTTTTGTCTCTATTTAATCTCCGATGTCAGAACCTCTGCCCCCGGGGTGTTGACATTTCGGTCGAAATTCATCAAAGTTCAATGTAAACATAAGTTCATCAGCTGATTGTTTAGGGCAAATATTGGCAGATAAACAAACAAAACCGAGATAATAAGTATAAAATCTACTGCGTCATTTGCAAACTTTGTTACACAATTATCAGTAGTCTTTCTTCGGTTAAGATATAGTAAACATAATTATAATAATCGTATTGCATAAGAAGAAGTTGCAAGTTGGCGTGGAAATTGTTGGGAAATTTAGATAATGGAGGCTTGCTGATTTTTCTATTTCTTTGTGTATTAGTGATGAAATTATATCGAACTTTCCATTTTGTTCTAATTTCCCTCATTAATTTATTCTGTAATTCAGCATAAATTTTGAGACTTCATTACAAAAATCATTTCTAACCATGAAATTATCTCGAAAAATTCGGCTCAGGTGACAGAATAAATTGAAACGTGTTATTAACAATATGGAAATTTACCGTGGTAATTTCTCTCATTGTAAATGACTTCTCTACAGTCGAGACAATAACGAGTTTGAACTGGAGATACAGTTGACCCTCAAGATAAAGGTCTAATTAAATACTCAACAGGTCAACCTCGATAATCAGGAAAATTCTTTGCTTCCCCTGTGCCTCCCCCCAGAACCATTAAAAATACATCATCCTTGAGGTCAATAAACTCTTTGATCTCGCCAGGGCAAAAGTGCCAAAATTATCAATACTTTAGCCCGACGAGACCAGAGAAATCGGAGATCAAAGATCTTTCCTAAAAATTCGTGAAAATATCGTAAATCGTGAGGAAATTTCACTGGCGAGGTAAAGGGTTAAACTAATTGCTTATGCTAATTTTGGAATATCTGTGAATCAAAGAGAGATACAGAAATTTTCATAAATTTCTTTTTTGAAGGTCTCATTCCACTCTATAAAATACATTCTGGAAAAAACTTGGATATTTTTCTTAGATTCGGAGATATTCTTAGAAAACTCAACTTGTTATCATTTACGTCTTCGCTACTGATTTTGTGGTAATGCGGGATTTTTCTTTTAATAATCACAAGAGCTAGTCGAGCAAAGTAGGTCGTCAAGTAGCTCATGGAATGGGAAATTTTCCTGACCGTCCAGTGACCCTATTATCCATCACCCCCAATGTCGTCACCAAGAGTGAAGATCGAACAAACGAGAATTTTTCATTAACCGATATTCAGCTTTAGCTCATAAAGTATTTAGAAAATATCTGAAGCATTTGAAAATTGAATCAACTTCAATAACAGAAATTGCGAAATTTATCAATGAAAATAATCGATGAATAAATGAACATTTTTCGTACATAATGGCATCACGATAAATATTTTTAAATATATTTCACGCGGAGAGAATGGATTTCCCGAGGTTTTAAAGCTATTATTATTCATTCATTACCGGCAACTGTAAAAAGAAGTATCACCGCAATTAGAATAGCGCTGAATATGCATGAATTTTTTGGATCGTCTGGTGCAATTAAATCGACAGATTTGCTCAACAATTTTTCCCCCACATTTCCTAAAATACCCAAATAGAAAAAAAAAATCGAGTTAATCCCTTCGCCTGTCCGATCCACGAATAGATGAATGCGATTGATTTCCCGGATTAATCGCCTCGAAATACTCCCATTTCACCCTGACCTAGTGTACCACTCCCCAGGAAATGAAAAAAAAAAAAAATCAAATCACCTTGCGCCTGTGACTGTAAATTAGGTGGTTGCGGTGCTGGTGAACTTCTGGGAGCATGCCTGAGATCCAAAGCAGCCTCACTCCCCCTATTCTCCTCCCCAACATTCCTCGGACTCTGCAATCTCTGATGAGGTGATTCCATAGTCAGCCTGACCTGGTCAACATGCCTGGGAGTATCCTGATTAAGTCTACTGGCATCAGAGCTAGACGGAGGTCGTGTCTGCTCAGCCCTCGGCGATGGTGAATTTGTTGGTAATCTCGGTGACATACCAATAGGCCTTGAGCCCTCCTGGATTTTTCCCTGAACAGGTGTTTCATTGGTGAGACCAATTACCTGTGCAGCGTACTCTCCCTGGAGTGTCATCTCAGCCCCAGTGTAGGGACCCCCATCGCACCTTTTCATCCAGTATATTCTCTGTCCATGGGGCTTTGCCTCTCTCTCGAAGCTCTCCCATTGCTGCAGCAGCAGTGCATAACACAAACTGCACGATCTAACAGCACCACTGCGTGCACTCTCACCACGATAGCCAATCGGTGGCTCGTGTGACTCCAAAAATGGAAAATAAGGCTCTGACGGTGGCCCACCTGGGGTTGGCTTCACTCTCAGCCAGTACTGATCACTGTGACCAAGTGTACCACATACAAAACATACACGACCACTGTGATCATCCTGGGACAGCAGGTGTGAATTCAAGTGGCTTGCAGTTCCCTCGAGTCCTGGCTCATTCTTCACGTACAGCTTGCTTTCCATCATGTCAGGAAATCATTTGGTGGGGGTATTCTAGCACAATTTTGGATATATTCTTCGGGGAATTTTTTGATGGGATGCGATGGTGACTAATTGCACATTGGCTCTTTGGAGAATTTTCTTACGCCTGCGGGGGCGCATCCAATGGAGATCTGCAATTTTTATAACAGGTTCTATTAGTATGGAGGAATTTTTCAACCATTCTCTGGAAAAATCCTATATTTCCAAGATTATTGGGGGTTTTTTAAGGAATTTTTGGGGGTGGGGCGATGAGTAGAGCACACGCTTGAGGGAGTTATATATCTGAATTTACAGGTTAATTTTTCGAAGAAACAGGTAGAAGTTATAACAGGGTTTAAAAATCTGACGGCATTTTCAATAATCTCCGGCCACAAATACCTCATTTGAGAATCCCCTCATCAATAATAATTAATTGTGATAAATTCTGGTGTTATAATAATCCTATGGGAGCAATAAAAATCGTAACTCCTATTCTCACTGGAAAATCATCTGACATTCCCCGAAAAATCACTCACAAAACCCCACAAATCGTCAACAAACGGAAAAAAAAATCGACTCGTCACCTCTTATCACACCTCAAATGTCTATCAGTAAACAAAACCGAAGAAACTCCGGAATCCACGGTTAGCCCAAGAGAGAGAGAAAAAAAAATCCCAAGAAACTATCGCACATATCTGAATTCACAGGGGAATGGTCGAAAGGAGAAGCGATCATAGGTTAACGTGAAGAGGCCCGAGGTTATCACGATTGAAAAAAATGCGAAGGAGGATTTAAAAAAAAAGTCATTGGGGTTAAAACCTGGAGGCCTAATCACAGACGGAAACGAGACGAGTCTCAGATGCTCGACAAAGCCCGGAGTGTACAAGTTTTTTTCAATCTTCTTGATTCCCAAAAATGAAACTCACCTCCCGAAAATTTCAGGGAGAATTCAGGTGAATCTGTACACTTTTTCGTGCAATTACTGACTGGTAAAGGGTGTCTTGGGGCTAGGCTGGCAGCGGTTGGCTCAGGGTGGGATAAAATGGTACGGGAGAGGCCTGAGAATTTTCTCAGTGGATATAAAAAAAATATAATTAAATGGCTGTACCGGAGGGGGATCTCGTCGAAGCCTCCTCTTATCGTATTCTCTCTAGTCTCTGCCATACGTTCTCATGCACCACACCGAGCTCTCGGGTGTCACCTTCGTTGTTACGTTCCACGTCATCGTGAATTTATTATTTTACCCCACATTTATTTGTCACTTCACCACTTTAATTATTTAATTTTATTATCTTAGGTTGGGGTTAACTGGGGGTGTAACTGGGATTGTGAAATTGTTGGTTCTTAGTTTGGATAATCTAAAAACTAGGCAATGTACATGTTTAACGGATGCTACAGCGCCGCGACTTTGGGCTCAGACCACCGCCATCTTGAAAAATTACAATTGGCGATTTTCGTCGGGATTCGGGGAACGTCGAGAGGCCTCGTAGCCGCTCGGCTCTGGGGCTCCCGAGAAGATAGACTGAGGTAGAGAGTCAGCTGTCGGCCTCGGGAACCACCGGAGGTAGCAAAGAGGATTGACTGAAGTAGAGGCTCAGTTCTGGGGGTTTGAGTGATCCCAGCGGCATCGTAGTACTTTACCCCAAGAGAGGGAGGGCGCCACACGCAATGGGGCTGAAAAATTCAAAAAATGAAAAATTTTCAAAAAAGTATCAGAGTGCATGGAAATCGAAGAGGCATTCACTGAAATAGAAAAATTTTAAATTTTCAAAAAAGTATCAGGAGAGCATGGAAATCGAGGAGGCATTCACTGAAACAGAAAAATTTTAAATTTTCAAAAAAGTATCAGGAGAGCATGGAAATCGAGGAAGCATTCACTGAAACAGAAAAATTTTAAA